ATTTAAAATAATTTGATTAGAAGTTCAGAGTATTTATAAATTATAATCACGGCCTACAAATGTTACTATTGATACATGTTTTTTCCTCTGTATAGGTTTAAGAGGATGTCAGCGCACTATTTGTTTTCTCTCTCTGGCCCACGTGCAGCATAGACAAAACGCATGAACGCAGAATCATTTTTTCTATGTTTTAAGTAATCTTAGAGTAAAATTACCTATTACAAAAAAGATAGAGAATAATATTTTTGAGGGAATTTCATACCGATTTTATATTTTATTGTTATTTGACTTTGTATTCGACTTTCAAAATAAACAAAAAAAGTTGTACATTAAAATGATGTTTAAATTGTTTTGAGACAATATTTAGACAAATCGATATGACATTCCCTCAAAAATATTATTCTCTATCTTTTTTGTAATGGGTGATTTTACTCTAAGATTACTTAAAAACATAGAAAAAATGTTTCTGCGTAAATTTGTTTTGTCTATGTTGCACGTGAGTCAGAGAGAGAAAACAAATAGTGCGCTGACATCCTCTTAAGGGCCTGTCTTACAATCATAGTTTAAACCTCGGTTACACCCAGCCCACTGATTTTACAGCCCCGTATTATAATTGTTAAACTAAGGTTAAGCCACCGAATTCGAATGGTAAAATCAGTGGGTTAGGCGTATAACCGAGGTTTAAACTATGATTGTAAAACAGGCCCTAAGTGGGTAAATAGTTAAATTTAGAATTTTTAGATCAAAAGGATATCCCCTCCCCTCCTAGAAGATGAATCAAATCCTCTACTGAAGTCGTACCATATAAAACTAACAAAATTACCGAAAAATGCTAAATAATGCTCGAAAAATTAAAAAACATCGAAACATGCAACAAAATGCAAAATAAATAACTTATTACGTATGCGGAATTTGCACGAGGTCCCTTGCGTTTCCGACTATTAGATAGACCTAAACGTCTTCTATATTTTATAATATTTTATATAAACAAAGAATTTCTATTTTCTAATAATATGATATATTACTTTATTTCCCTCTAGTTTTTTTTTTAAATTATTTATTAAGTATTAAGTACAATAAAAGATAGTTGATAAAGTACTAACATAATTAATTATATTAAACATGTTTAAAGAAAGAGAGAAAAATATTACTATCAATATTTTAATGTAATATAAATATAATGATTTTTTTTTTATTGATTAGCCCGCAGCAACTTAGGCCATTGGGTGGTTTTTTAAGTGTGAGGTGGGTACTATAGGTTTGGTAAACACGTGTGTTTTTGGTTTTTGGCAGAATTTCAATTTGGGCACCCGTATAGGTACGTAGGTTTCTGCCATGCCCAGTCAGGGGATGGCATTATGAATTATTATATTATCTGCAATAGACGGGAATAGAAAATATTATAAAGAGTGTTTTGTTAAGTTATTTAAATATTTAATAATTATTTATATATTAATTGAAAACTAATATACTAAATGTTAACAAATAATTATTTCTAAGTTGTACTGTATTAATAATAAGAATAAGATATTATTATTAAAGGAATATATTATTATCCTCAAATTATAGTGTATAGCCATTAGCCATCGACTATAAGAATAAAATATTTTAGACAATAATAAGACATGGGTAAGAATATCAATAGAATATGTCACAAAGAGTATTATATGTTATATAATATTATCTTAGTAAAAATGTGCATAGAATATTTTCAAATCTTAGCAATTTATGATGAATAATATATAGGTAACATAAAAAATGTTGTTCTAAAAAGAAGGAAATTTTTAAAAGATTTATTAAAAAAATTTGAAAAGAATATTATATTTTAAATATGCTTGGGAAATATCTTAAAGAATATCACTTTGTTCTTATTATTATCTGTAGAACAATTGGATATCTTGAGCATGTTCATTGAATGTCCAGTGTTTCATAATATTGTATTGTATTATATAGTAGTTGTATTTATGGTGAAATTCGACAGTGGTTTTAAAAAATAAAAAATAAAAGTAGTAGAAGGTTGTCATTCAATCTGGCAGTTAATAGAACATTAGAATCTCCTAAGGAAAAATCTTAGATTGCTACTCCCTTTATGTCTATACCGTCATTTGTCACCAATCGAGCACGTTCTGTATCATAATATTTCGTTTCTTATGAATAGGTTCTCGATTAGGATTGGCATTCTATAATTTCAAGTTATAATGGCTTAAAAAAAAAAAAAAAATATTTTATTATTAATATAATTTATTAAAATAAAGCAACGGTATGCATGCTGAAATAAATACGAAATATGAAATACGAAATTATTAATGCTAGTCGGGTAAATCAAGTAAAATGTGAATGGTTCCAATATTATGCAATTTAAATATTATTAATCTTCAACCTCATCTTTAAGTTGATTGATAATAAATGATGTACACAGTATGTATTGGGTCTTCGGTTTTAGTTTTATGTATTTTTGTTGTGTTATTATACCTAGCTACAACACTGTGACTGTGACATGACATTGTTTAATCTCTGTGATAGGCCTCACGTAAATGCTAATACTTACCACTTGCCAGTTATCAATTATCTTCAATTTGCTGTCACGTTTTAAATTAATATTTCAAATTTACATATAAAAGTGAAGTAAAACATGCAACTTCAATTATTCTATTCGTTTATATATGATAGCATCGCTGCATATTTTTATCAATTACAATATAATTTAATTTCCCTCATATAATGTAACTATAATTAAATAAATTAAATTTATTATAATTAAATAATTAATTTATAATTTTTTATAATTAAATTTTAATATATAATAATATGTATAATAAATAGTAATTTGTTATCTTGGATTTTTTTACATTACCAAGCATTCTCATGTCAAGTGGACCAACCCAGAGTTTCGCCAAGTCGCATTCCCGGGAATTTCCCAGTTGATATAATAACCCTATAATTCTCGATACCGATACGTAGTAGCGCCTTTTTTCGTTCGATAGTGTGAAAGGGGGTGAAACAATTTCATATTTTACTGTATTATTTTTATAACTTGATAAGACAAACTGTTGACAGCTTGTTTCCCAATCGAACATAATAATTTATTATTATGTGTACCCGGTTGTAAATATTTATGTACGTATATGACGTAACAAATGAACTATAAGTTATATTATACACTGAAACATTTCGAACACACTATATTTAATACCCAAGCATTAAGTGTTAGAATTTATACTAAATAATATTAGTGTATCATAAATTATTATTCATAATATTATACTTTAGGAACCTATATCTTCAAATAGGTATACGAAACGTATATATTTAAAACGAAAGCATAATATCAGCTAATATCAGCCTATCGCATATTTCAAACTTTAAGCGAGTAGTGTGTATTGTATATTTGTATTATAAGCATGTAAAAAGTAAATTTTAGTACTTAAGTATAGCGATTGGAAAAAAAAAAACATCAATATTGAAAGTGGTAAAATAAACAGTGTAATTATTAAATATTTCAAAAACTAAAATGTTTGTCTTTGCATAATATATGAGACGTATATCTATAATAATATAATTTATTAAGAATATAATTTTTTATTCGTACAAAATAAATATTTCGATATGAAATAATGTTTATTTTTGACACTGCACAATATACTTTGGAAATTAAACCATTTTATTATTTATTTAAAACGTACGGGTCAAACAAAACATATTTATACTATCATCGAGTCGTCCCTAACGGAATCTATCCCGTAACCCTCTCGGACGTCAATGTTTATTCTAATCCGGCCCAACTGCAACAACAGCCGCGAATACCTGCATATTAATATAATATTATTATAATAATAATGCTTTTTCATATAATAATAATAATAATATATTATTGGGTGACCGAGCTTAGCTCGGGTTCAGTTTTTCAACAACAAAAAAGTATTTGTTTGAACCAAAACATTTTATATTCTTTTTACATGTTTCATTATTTTTCTCATAACAAAACAAAAAATATAAGAATGTTTTGTTCAAGGATTAAATTTGCTATGAGTTTAATGAAATCAGGGTATTCACATAAATTTAGGTCAGGTTTAAATCAGTCAAGTCGTCTGGAATAGTCAAGAAAACAGTATAGTATCATCAAAATCTATTTATTGGTGATTATTTTGTATATTATAATAATTATTGGTACACTCGGTCTGTATTGCTTAATGTTTCTGTCCACACTATATTTAAGAATGTGACAATGATTTTCATGTGGTAAAAGCACTTTCTTTTTGCTCTCAAAAAAGTGATATGCAACATCCAGTGCATAAATACTGATGTTCGTAAGTGTACACCAGCATACTCAAATGTTTAACCTTACCGACTACTATTGCTGCCAAATTGTCGGTACTGTCAATTACAAGTTAACACTGGGGTTACGCCTTACGCGTCTGTATATATATATTGTTAATATTATTTAATAATATAATAATTATTTAGTACATGACCTATATTATTTATTAATTAATAATTTTTCCTCTTTATACTTCGTCATTATTACGGCAATACCACGTAACTAACATTACTTTCATAATTGACTTTTTTTCATTTTATAGAAACACATATTCCCAATATTTTAGCTAAATAACAAATATCAATATTTCAGATTTTGTAAATTTTCCAAGCTCTCGAGCATAACTCGAAAGTACGAAAGTTTCCGGATATGAGACCATTGAATTCCTTTAATTTAAAACAACCCTATAATACGTACTAGCGTGATTCTAGAAATAGCAATTTATGTAATGTATCTATATTATATAGATACGAAATTCCGACGAGAGGGACTGTTTTTGAGACACAAAATGTTGCACAGAAATGCACACGGAATTATCACTGCTCGGTTAATAGAGTATATTGGATATAGGATATTTTACAAAACAACAATGTACCTAATAATAGTGTAGTGAATATGATAATACGTTTTAAATTATAACAATATGCTATTGGACTATATCGATCGCTTTATCTTTTCACAGCATCCAGTATCCACACCAGCCGTTTGTTCAGCGGCTACAGGGACACGCTGATGTCGTCTTCCGGCCATCCTAGGGTCTCCGTGCTCCGCCTGTTGGGGCCCACCACTCAGTCGGCAATCGCCGTCGGCACTTTCTGGCTGCTGGCCCTGGCGCTCAACGCCGTCCTGTTCACGCGGGCCGGCCGTACGCTGTTCAACTACGACGGTTCGGCCAGGTAAACGTTTATTTCGTGTTTGTTATAAATTAATTGATAATAACTCGGGGCATTCGTTTATTTGTACGGATCGACTTAAAATGTAGCACAGTGCTGTGGAAGTGTATGTCATATGAAGCGACACGTTCAATTACGAAATTTAAAAGTACTTTTTATTTTTGCTTTTTTCCACGATTTTTTCGATGAAATGCATATTTCCAGTTTTTCTGATTAATTTTGTTTTTTTTTACCAGTTTTTCTACTTTGTTTTCTCCTGCAAACTTGTTATTGATAGGATTGAAATTTAAAACACAGTTCAACAGTTGTACAGTTATACAAATTAAGTCTAGTATCTACCAACTTTATCAAGTAAAAAGAAAGTTTTTTTTTTTTTTTAATTAAATATTTTTGCTTATATTTAAATGCTTATTTGAGTGCTAATACCTAATAATGTTTTTAAACTCTTATTCAAGCTCTTATTTTAATGATTTTAAGTTCTATAAGTCCCGAGCCCTGATAATTATATTATCGTGGGCGCGCTATGGCCACGCAGTGTCTGACAACATAATATTATGTGACTGCGGTACAGCGACTACGCAATTGCACTCCAAACCGACCTCTGGTTTTTCTTATTTTCGCGAAAAGCACCCGTTTTCTGAGAGATATAGACTTACCTGTTTGATATACAGTGAGCGAGTCATATACCTACCTAGCAACCGTGATTTATAACACCGGATATGATTTCCGGAAGTGGTCGTTATATATACTCGACCTACTGTCACCATAAAAGTTAGTGCCGCGCCTAACTGGCACTGCAGTTAATATATTATGGTTCAATACTTATAAACTCAGACACCAACTGAAAGTTCGAAGCTTGTTGTTGTGGCTTCCGTCATTATATTATGTTCTCTTATTTTATTTTCAGACACAATAAATTATTTCACTCAATATTTTGCCCCGTACTGAAATTAAACAGCTATCACCTTATAAAATTATTACAAAAGTATACCAACTATTGTCGTTTACGAAGTTGCACTCGTGTCGTCGTTAAATAATTCAATGCGTCGCACTTTGATATCAAAATATCTCCAAAACCAACGTTCTTAATAACTGTTGGCTTAAAATGTATACACTAATTGTGTTTGATTCGACATTTCAAATGGCGAGACACTAGAATTTAAGTATGCAAATTTGTGATCAAAGATTTTATTCTTAGTTCACCAACTCAAACTGAATCTAAATTCATAAGTAGTTATAAATTAAACTCATATGTAGTATGAGAGACTCTTTAAAATGTGATGCCTGAAAATAATGACGAGCTTAATAATGTGTTTTGACATAGTATAGTTTTCAACATCAAATTCTAAAACAAAGTTATAAATTATTTTGTGACTTACCGACCAAGTTCATCATATTGTGAAATAATAAACTAACAGAAAAAAAAATGTTGGATGACGTGATTTATGTGAAACGGGTGTTGAATTATAATATTTTAATCTTTTAAACGCGAGTGAAAACATAAACTTAAATAAAAAATCATGGTGAGCGTTTTCGTGAATCGCAGTGAAATGTTATTATAAATTATACAAAACTACAGGAAGATGAATAATTGGTGTTTATATCATGAAGTTTATCTCGGATCAAAATTGAAATGGAACTCAATCAAAATACCTACTTTATTGTAACATATTTACTCCAGTATTAAGTTTGCAAGCTTCTCCAAAATTACGAAATCAGTTCGAAATTAAGTTTGAATAAGTTCGCTATGGACTTATAATGCAATATTTAAATGAAATACCAATTTTGTATTTATATTTTATTGACTCGCTGTGAGTAAAATAAGCATAACAGTTCCAAAACATCTAGTCTTGTAATTTATGTTTAAAAACCATATTTTTGAGCATAATGAATTCTTATTGGAGTATGATAAATACATGAAATACCTATAGCGAATTCGTATCAATACGCGTTTGTTATTTTCAGGCCTTGCCGATATCGGTACAGAAATACAGAGCGCAATAAAGTCCCGTAATTCTGGTTTCCGCGCAAACGGCAAATTGAATCTTAAGTGAGATTAGCGTCGTTCGGAAATGATTGTGCCGACGTGGTGGCAGGAGTATAGCAGGACAGCATGAGCAATGCACTGCGCAGGATATAACGAATATTACGCAATTTAATTCCATACGCACCGTCGCACCGACGACAACCACGACGACGCCATACAGCGATGAATTCGATGCCAAAAGAAAAACGACACGCAAGGGCAGGCTTCAACTAACTACGTCTTGTCATCGCCGGCTCGTAGTTTTTCGTTAACAATTTTCCGGAAAACACGATGGCAAACACTGAAGATGTACATGTCTCAGCGTCGATGCTCTGAGAATGTAGAACGTGACCGGAACGCCAAATCGTAAAATATAACGCTCAGGCCGCTGAATTGTTCGACGATCCAAATTATTATATTAAGTAGAATTCATCAAGACATCGGCTTAACATCACTTTAAGAAAAATGTTTATATCATTATTTTATTAGGTTTTTTTTTGTTATTATCTTGGCAACAATCGTACAGTTGCGGACTGTGGTACGTCACATCGCGTAACGTCCAACCGTTAACAATATTTAATATTTATCTATTATATACAATTGTAATTAAGTTTATATCACGCAAAGCTGTATACGTATACCACCATTAACGTGTACAAATTATCGAGAACCTTGAAGTAACGTGCTAACGGTTAAAAGAATGTAAACGCAAAATATTATACAAAACAAACGATTCAAAAACCGTGCAGTAGTGTATCAACTAAATATAATAATATGTTTTGGTTTAATTTATTCGTGGTTTAATTAATTTAAAAGTCAAGGCCGTTTCATATCAAAATATTAATACTACGGCTGTATGGTATAATATAATAATACATATATTGTATATATATAATATATATACAAACAAGTATATAGGTAACCTTTCAACTTTAATTAATGCGCAAACAATATTACCTATGTGTTTTATATTTGTGTTTGATGGGTGTTTTTATATGGACTGTCTTAAGTTCTTTTGAATAACTACTATCCATTTTTGAAATTACTTTTCTTAATCTATGAAGTGAGTTAATAAATCAACCAATTATTAACCAATTCAAATTCAATAACAAATCGCAATACAATTTTATTTTGTACGAGAAAACTTATTTACTTACTTAATTTAATTATTAGCTATCAGAAAATACATTATTTATCGGCATACTTCGGTCAAATCATACATTATTATATAATATTATCTAGTGTTGGACTGTTGGAGAGAAAAATAGCCAACCAGGTCTATCAAACTTACTCTAGTCTCACGTAGGTACCATACAGTGTACCAGTATAATATCTATTGTTTTGTTTTTTTAGTTCTGTTGTTAATGAATTGCAACACTTATTTAAAAGTTTTCCGTTTTCCGTAACACATCTGTACTATCACTCATACCAATAAAAAATGATTTGTTTATTTGTTATTTTTTCTAACCTTTTTTTCTGGATGAGCGAACAATATATTATGTTCGTATAATACCGGTTCACTATTATGGGTTATCCACTTAGTTAGTGATAAATGATTATAGGTACTGATTAGTGTTTACCGTCAGCCGTCTGTCGAACACACGATGTATTATACATTTTTTTTTTAAACCACCAACAGTGTGGTTATATACATATATATTATATATGTATATATACATGTATATACATGTATATATATATGTATGTATATAATATATATTATCCCTTAGTACTTGGAATATTTTACGTGAAACTTGGCTCACGGCCCCGCATCGATAATGTTAAAGCACCTTAAAATTTACATTCACACAAACTTCACCACGCGACCGTAAATACTTCCTATTAAAACTTTGCAGTAGGTCGCGACGCAGACTAATTCTGTTTCAGGACAGGTTTTTGACTTGTTTACGTCTACAAATGTGGTTTAAGAATTCATTAAAGTAACTAAAAACAATGAGAAATTATGAATAGTAAATGGTTCAAAGAAATTGAAATTCCTTTAAAAAGAAATATATTTGTAATTTAATTTCGGTAGTACAACTTTTTTATTATTTTTTGAGGTGTTTTGTCTTTACTGATCTCTGAACTGTTTTTGGAAATTAACGACGAAAGTAATATTTTGCAATTATATAATATTTATATTGAGTACCTAACCAACAATATTTGTTATAATTTAAATACTTAGGTATCTCTCTTTTAAATAAAAAAAAAAAGAAAAAGTTTTGCAATCTTTTTTCAGTAATTCCTATAATATTATTATGGCCAATGATAATACAAAAAAATTGTAGATATTCAGTATTGAAATATTAATTTTTCAGTTTCTTATGAATATATTATTTATAGTTTATATAGTAAAATCATAAAATAATTTATTGGAGGGCTTGTCAAGTAGAGTGAGAAGGAGGCATAGTTGTAGTTTGTAGCCCCTAGTATTAAATATGATGTTAATTTGTAATTTAAACTAAATAACATATATTTATTATGTTTCAATTTCTTTTTATCTTTAACAGAGATAAAATAAATATACCTATATAAAAATAAATTTGATTTATTTGAAAAAATTAGGTTCCTATTCTGAAAAAAAATCATACATTTATTACAGCTTAATAAATGTATTATAATTAATATTTCATCAAACCAATATTATTGTTCCACTGATAATTGTATAAACTTTTTAATATTTATTCAGTATTTATATAATGTTTTCAAATAGTGTTTCAGTTTAAGATTCATATTGTTGGAAAGTGAAAACTTTCAATACTAAAATATATAATAGGAATTATATTGTAGATAATCCTTATTCTATTAGTTTGAATGATATCGATATAAATCAATATTAAATGAGTTACGTTTTTGGTTTATGTTTTTGATAGATAAAATATAATTGGACTTTTTTTTTTTTGAAAATCAGTAATCACTGATTAATGATAAATTATTTCTTAAATATGTTACCGTTAAGGCGTTAACTTGGTACATACATG